CTTGCTTGAGCCATCATCGAGAGTAAGAATGAGAACATAGAATTAAGAAAACTATTGGAGGCCAATTGGTCCATATGAGGGCGCTCTTATATCCAACCGAAATCATTAATACCTGTCTAACCTACACTTGAAACAATCAAGTAATCTCACACCTATGATTTCTCTGCTGTCAAGAAGAGGACGAATAGTTTGTTCCAATGATTAGCAAGAGAAAATATTTTATTCCAACATTCAACAAGATTAAAAGATTTTAGCCATTAACACGAGTAAGAATGATCGATCTGTTGTTCAGCCGCCAATTAAGGTGGTCAAGATTGCGATTAATTAGTAATAAATATGTATGTGATAAATTAATACAAAATAGAACACGAAACAATAGGTACAAATTGATACGTTTATATTCAGAAAAGAGCTGGATAAAAACTGGTTTCTAAATGATGGAACTAGTTTCATATTATAATTGATATTGATATCAATATCTTTCACACCTCACTACATCAGTGGCAGTGGTGGAAAGGTTACAATCACCCACATTTACTACCAACACTTAGCAAACTGGGGATATTTGGCTAAAATTTCTGGTGGCAGATCACTTTGAATTAAATATTTACAAATCTCTTGAACATTTGTTATAGAGCTGTCTCTAAATTCACTTACCTTTTCGCACTCCAACACACAGTGACGGAAGGTGGGCGAATAATCTTGCTGACACAGTTTACATTTGGTCAGGTCTACCTCAGTTATCGGACCTATCAGTAGGTAATGCAAATTCTCAAGAGATACATTATTCGAGTCTATGCTGGGCAGTGTTAACATAGGAGTCTGCCGAGTTTATTGGGGCTGCAGTATCACTATAATAGTAACATACTGACTATATACACACATATCACAATGACGTGATATATCAAATGAACAAATCCACAAGGGCCTTGATGAGGGTTCGAACCTATGTATGTTGTATTGTTTATTTATGTGTATTGACGTATACACAGTGAAGTATATTTATGAAGTTAGAAGTAAAATCAGAGGTAGAAGTATTTGGTTGACAGAGCACGAGTACATGAGGTAATTTTGTAAAACCCAGATTAGGCTTTAGTGGAAGCCTCGGGAGCCTCGTGGTGGGGCAGTAGCACACCAGGTTGCAATTTTCTTACCATATCGTGGAACAGTTGACTAGAGCGCGTCTGGGAACCCGCTCTTTGGTACCGCCTCTCAACTGTCAATCAATCAACTGCCGCAACAACTTGTGGATTTGTTCATATAATCACTACGTTAGCAAACTACAGCTTTCGAACTGAAACCAAATAGCATTAATACTAGCCATACACATAACTTAGACAATACTTTAGATAACATTGAAATTGAAATAAGTTTATTGAGGTAAAATACACACAAAGGGATGAGGTAGCTCAAGCTATTCTCACCCCGTTCAGTACATCGTGTTAATACATACATAAGACACACATCACAAACAATAAACATATTACCGAACATTCTGAGAGATAAACATATACATTTCCTCCTTTACACAAGTAGTATGGTACAGATAACATTGTACACAGTAATCGCCTTATACAATAGAGTGTAGTGCCGTACACACAACGACTTTAACTGTACCTGGCTTGTGGACGCCGTGACGTCAACTCCCCCAGAGGAGAATCAACGCAACAGAGCAAGGTATACGGGGCTCCTGCAGTATTATCATGGTGTATCCTGTCGGCTCGCCCTGTCCTAAAGCAACCGGGCCGCCCCTCACTGTGCGGGTAATGCCTGAAGAACTGCTGCACCAGTGACCCCGTCAGCAGGACCCTCCCGGCCGCCACCTTCCTCACCCTCGACGCCCCGCACACCAGGGTTGCCAGATCTAAATTGCTGAAAGTAGCGAGCTGACGCTCTAAAAGTAGCGAATTTGTAATAAAAGTAGCCCAATCTTTTAATTTTTAATGAATGATATGGGTTTCAAGGTAATATATTTTGATATATAGAGTACACTACACGATGTTAATTGTTTTATTAATATTATTTCTGCACATACACACATATATATATATATATATATATATATATATATATATATATATATATATATATATATATATATATATATATATATATATATATATGTATACAACTTTAGAACACTTTCCCACCAGAAGACTCGAACCCTAGCCAGCACAGAAGCCTTCCAGCAACTGGCATAACAGGTACGCCTTAACCCTCTCCACCACCTGCTCAGACCCTTAAAAGAGATGGTAATTTCGGAGTATTTAAATACCACAAAGATCACCACCTCCCAAGAGCACTAGAGCAAGTGAGGGGTCATTTAGACGTTAATTTCATCAAGTCCCTGTTAATATGGGACAGGGAAGCCCAAAAAGTAGCAAGTAGCGAAATTAAAAATTTGGGAGCGCGGGGCTCTCAAAAGTAGCCCAATTCGCTATTTGTAGCCCAATCTGGCAACACTGCCGCACACTTATTTATTTATTTATTTATTTATGCATATACAAGAATGTACATAAGGAATGTAAGGATACAAATATGGTAATTACAGTCTTGTAAAGCCACTAGCACGCGCAGCGTTTCGGGCAGGTCCTTAATCTAAGAAAATTTTAAGGAGGTAAATACTTGCAAAGTTTATAGACAAAAAAATGAAAACAGATTACATGGAATGAAAAAAAAAGATGAGAGAAAATTATAGGTACAGTATATTAAAGCACATAGGTAGCTATGATTGATTGCAATGACAGCTTAAAATGGTAGTTGACAACAAATTGGTAGGCACAATACAGCAGAAACAATATATGATTGATTGCAATGACAGCTTGAATGGTAGTTGACAAAAATTGGTAGTCACAATACAGCATATGGCTAGCACATAAAAGAAGACAGCAATGAACACAATGATAAGGTTGTTTGATATTACATAAAAATTAGGAGATTGGGTAACACTAGGTATACAGAGCAAATTTAAAGCTCAGTGTAGGAAACTAAATAGATGAAGTTAGGTACTTTTTGGTTTTGCTTTTAAATAAGGCAAAAGTTTTACAGTTTTTCAATTCACTAGGGAGTGAGTTCCATAGACTAGGTCCCTTAATTTGCATAGAGTGTTTACACAGATTAAGTTTGAGCCTGGGGATATCAAAGAGATATTTATTTCTGGTGTGGTGATAATGGGTCCTATTACATCTGTCCAGGGAGAGTTTCAGAGCATGGTTTGCATTTAAGAACAGGGTTTTGTAAATGTAGTTGACACAAGAGAATGTGTGGAGGGAGTTAATATTTAGCAAGTTTAGGGATTTAAACAAGGGAGCTGAGTGTTGTCTGAAAGCAGAGTTAGTTATTATTCTGATAGCAGATTTTTGCTGTGTGATGATGGGCTTAAGGTGGTTTGCAGTGGTAGACCCCCATGTACAGATACCATAATTAAGATAGGGGTAGATTAGTGCATAATATAGTGAGAGGAGAGCAGAGTTAGGAACATAATATCTGATTTTGGAGAGTATACCAACTGTCTTAGAGACTTTCTTAGTTATGTGTTGAATGTGGGTGCTGAAGTTGAGTCTCTTGTCTAGGAATAGGCCAAGAAACTTGCCATCATCTTTATTACTGATGTTAATGTTGTCTATCTGTAGCTGAATTGCATTTGATGATTTGCTTCCAAATAAGATGTAGTAAGTCTTTTCGATGTTTAATGTTAGTTTGTTCGTTGACATCCATAAGTGGACTTTCACACTGGCCAAATACTCGTTAAGACCTATTCATATAAGTTCAAACAACAAAATTAAAGATGCTCGAAAGAGGGGTAATTGTTCAAGTGGGAATAGGTGAATAAGTAATGAGAAGAAACTTGTTTTGTTTTAATTTAAGGGATAGAACCGCGCATTACATCTTTTCTCAATCTTTGGCCCTTTTTTTTTGCATTTAATTGATAACTTGTGAGCATAAAAACTTCCCAAACAAATGATATTATTGTTATAAACAGCCACCTGTTGCTTCGGAGCTCATAAACTGTTTAATAAATGTAAATAAAGCCGCCAATTTTTTTAAAAAGATGAACAGGTTCGTAAGTATGAAATACTTAAGGACATATTTTTGTTGTTTTAATCAATTTTCAGGTAACGTTAATGTTAAAATATTTCCAAACTCAACCATTTTCATTTCAAAACACAATGAAACATTAAAGAAAAAACATTGAACTATAGACTAATTAAAAAAACTAATCTTACTTAACTTATGCCTAACTATGCATAGGACTCTTAAGACAGTATATAATTATATACTGTCTAATTGTTTGTGTTAATGGTATATAATTATATACCATTAACACAAACAAAATTGTTAGTACACTATTTGTTAAAATTGATGAACGCATCTTTTTTGGGGGGAGGGACCAGTTTAAAGAGCCTGGCCTGAGGACAGATTGTGAGCAGTGGTGTAAAAGGCTAATGGGCTCAGGAAATGAACACTCAAATTCATTTAGCTAAACAAGTTGCAGCTCTCATAGGCTAACGAAGGAACTTTCTAATGTTCTTTCGGTAGCTTTGCTCATTGGGTATGAATGTATTGGATGTTATGGGCTAAATTTCTCGGCTATCAGAATGTGTGGTTGAATCGCATTTATTATATATAACTATGCTGTACCCTCTTTCTATTTCATTGTTGTAACAACATGCAAGTTATTAGCATCAGCATATGAGCAGAGAATTAATTTGAGTGAAATTCACAGAGCAGCTGTGTAGTTTGAGTATCAAACAGGGTTGTGCTGCGTAGGGTATTATTTGCTTCGAGAATTCAGCTAAGATGTTCCTTAATTGAAGATCTGTTGTAAAACATTTGGCACAAAGATGATCATCTCATAACATTATAATCAACCATTTTAATTGCTTTACCTGATGGTTACTACCCTTAATATCTTTGGATGAGATAGAATTCTTATCAAATAACATACCATAACTTGGCAAAATTAACACTTAAGCACTAAGGAAAATTTAACAAACAAAAAAACTTTGGGGTTTATTTATTGCATATATTCTCTACATTTATTGTGAAACATATATTACAGCAATAAATTATATAAAATTTCTTTATAACCACATATTTTTGACATAAAGATTGCCCTGGAAGCACCACACATTTTATACAAAATATCATAATGTTGACAATATGACACTCATTTATGTACATCAGGCATAACCAACTCTTTTTTTTTTTTTCTCAAAATATTTAGTGCCATATTTAATGCCAAACACAGGATGGTGCCACAAAACACATTATTCACTTTTATGTGAACCAAGTCATTGGGTCATCCTGAAGTCCAACACTATTCAAATTGTAATGATTTTTGTTGTACAAGTATTAACTAATATAATAAACAATATCAGTAACTATTATATCTCATTTAATAATTTTAAATGCATAAAGTCATCACATAAAGAAATGCAACCAATTGCTAATCAGTCTATGTCTACATTTAATTTTGTTTGAGACAGTTATACTACCAAATTAAGTACACATTATTACATAACCAGACATTACAAAATAGATGGAATGTAGCATTGCAACTGAGGTTAGACTTCTCTCTCCAGTTATATGAGTTAAAATACAAGAAGCTGTTATACAAAAGATATGCTGATAATGCAAACTATTCTCAATAAAAAGTTATATATATAACAAATGCAGTCACTGTATACAAACATTAATGCATATTAGTAATTCTGATTCAGTTCACTTGTGTGATTAAATATTTTACAGGCATAACACAAAATCCTAAACTAGAGAATATAATATAAAAGATATTAAGGAAAAAGGAGATCCTTATGATGATCCTTTTTACAAGTATCTTATGAACAATCCAAATTATACATAAGATTGAATATATAGTTATGCACTAAGTACAGTAACACATTCTGTTAGGTAAATTAACTGGCCTTTACTTGCCTTTAGAGGAAACTCTTACTACTTAGAAGTACAATAATTAACTGACACAAGAAAGAATCTCTCTTTTTGGCTCCTTTGTACAAACTTACACATAGAGGACATCATTGATATCACTGTTGTGATAGCAATGATAGTAATACAGCTATACGTATGGCAACATTCAAAGTTTTGTTGTTGATTGAGGGGCAAAGATCGAGGGACCGCATGCATTCAGAGTATAGTCCTAGTTAATGGCCTCTTGTATCATACTTTTCACTTCAGTCTTTTTGTTTCCTATTTGTTCATCCGGTCTTGCTTCACTTTGTGTAATGAGTCGTCACTTGTTGGAATCCTTTTTCGCTTTAGTACGCTTAGTAACTTAATTGTATTTATCACAAGGAAGTCAAAGATGCAGATGGACTGAGATGGCATAAAGAGCAACCAAAGAACACTAGGCACCGGTTGATGTAACAGGGGAAAAAAGTAAAGAACATGGTACAAGCTGATGTAACAGGAAAGTAAGAACATAGAACACTGGTTGATTTAACACAGGAGCAAGAACATAGTATAGGCTGATGTAACATCAGAGTAAGTAAAGAGTAGAGGGGATTGACTGATGTAACACAGAAAGCAGAGAATATGGTACCAGCTGATGTAACACAGGTGAACAAGCAGAGAACAAAGAGTACTGGTTGATGAAACATGGAAATATGTACAGAACATAAGATATTGGTTTGTGTAACATGGGGGCAGGTACAGAACAGTATTTGGTTGGTGTAACAGATGTGACAAGAAAAGATTAAAAACTGCATGAATAGCTTATATACAAACGAAATGGCAAATAAAAGGCTGAGAAGCAGTAAAGAACATGAACAGCAAATGAATCATGAACAATTATTCATACACAAATTTTGTTTTGAATTACAAACTGTAACAGAAATGCTCAATAAATATCACATGCTACTGTTCAGTAAATATTCATCTGTGAGAAATGCAGTGTACACATTCAACTGACTTATATTTCATCGCTCAAAAAATTATATAAGTATTTTAGCATTTAATTTATGTACACCTATTTTGTATAAAAACATTTTCTAAATAATTCCACACATGTTATCCAGTACTGTAGTATAATTTAATACTACTTCTGAATTTTAAAATCCAGCTTGATAAAATCATTAGGACAAATGGGGGGACCTTTGACAAGCCACCGGCTTCCTGTCCTCAACGAAGCCATTAGAGGTAGTGGTCCTTATGTCCATTATGAACCTATACCCTGAGTCAAATTTGCACTGAATTTCAAATATATTTTCTCTTATATACTTAACCCATATACTGTACATAAAACTCTTCATTTGATTACTAATCCGGTATGCATTGTACATATATATGCATACAATATATACTTTTTTAATTCCATAATGAATTAATCCTACTTAATATGCGAACAAAATTCGTCAGTGAAAATCGTTTTGTCTGATTTGACATTTACAACCAGAGTCTTTAAATGTTATTTTATATACTGTATACTCTTAGTTCCTTTATGCTTCCCTGCCTAGTTTCTTCCTTGACTCCATCATATATCATAATGAATTATATGCTACAGATATCCACAAATTGCTTCTGGTCTCAGTAACAACATGAGCAAGTGTGTAAGTTACCATTTTATCATTTAAACATTAAATATGGTGACACACTGTATTGCCTGCACAGCTACACAGTACTACATGATCATTTGTTCTCTACAATTCTAGCTCCATCTTACTGACCACTAACTTTAAGAATGCAACATATTCAGTTATTACATTTATTTTATACAGATGTGTATCCAGTAATATTTGAGCCAAGTGACACTAATTAAACAAATATATAACATAAATGTATGTGTGTGTGAGATGTATGTATGTATGTATGCCTGAAGAGAATATGTACTATTCTCTTCAGAGAAGAGAATAAAAGGCATTCAGAGAAGATTTATATGTATAAAATATACTATACAAAAACTTAATACTTCTAGCACTGTAATTCATAAAATAAACATGTGGAAAACAATGTTATTTATAAAAGAAGTACAATTACCTAAGTATATATTAAATCACAACCATATCGAAATGTAACCAATGTCAACACAATTAAGTACTGTACTAGACAGCAGTCAACACACAGAAAATAATTATATACTATATCACATTAATTACTCAACATTCATGTATATATTTTTTGTTACCTTTGTGGCATGTTTTCAGGTTCCCATTACTTGGAACTTGCAGAGTATACATGCACAGTATCCCTGTGTATTATACATGCATAATATGTATACATGTTATACATACACAATTATTTACATATATATGCATTTAAAGTATATATGGACAGTATGCATTTATAGTATATATATGCCCAATATGCAGCCTTAGTATACATGCCAAGTATGCATGTACAATATTCATGTAGAGAATATTCCCAGTATACATGCCATGCATGCATATGCAGTACAGTAGTCATATAAGGAATATGCCAAGTATGCATGAACAATATGCATATACAATATTTATGTAGAGTATACATGCTGGCAGTGAATTCTGAATATTTTAAATCAGCTAAATATTTATAATAAGATTAGATTTATAATATTTATAATATAATATAAACAGTATTTATAATAGGGTTAGAGCTCAAGCCAAAAGGTAAGACTTGCCCCAAAAAAAATTATTTAAAATTTTATTTAATTTCTTCAAAAATTAAAAATATTTGTCAAAATTCCCACATTTGGTGCATACTGTATTTCTCAGATCAGAAAAGCATTAACAACAAAACTTTATGTATGGGCTTTGCTTAATTAATGAGAAACATGTTCCAGCCCCATACATAAAAAATGTGATATCAGTGATAAAAAAAAACCAGCCATTACTTTACAGATATCATATTTACTTTACAGATATCACCTCAATGTGCAGTCCAGTTTTGCTGTATGCCTCCAACCGGTTAGCAACAACAATACATAGCTTTTCCCCCCCCTTCTCTAAGCTGTACCTACTTACACTACATTGTTGCGGTCTGTTCCTCCAGGCTGTTGCGCTCTTTCCCTCTCTCCTCCACAAACGTGAGACATGGGGGGGGGGGGTAATACAAATACATGAATGAATGAATAAGGTAAACTGGTATGAATTTTTATGTACAGTTAAAATATATACAGTTTTTACATTTGAACAAAAAAGCAAGGTCTTGTTAGAGAATACTTTTAGCATGTTCTCAATAAAATTTCATCTTTAATCAATAAAATACAAGAATTCAACACTGTCAAACTGAAATTAAATGAATTTTGTTTAATATGCTCTTAAATATTGAAATGATTGCCCCTTTAAGAATACAATAACATAAAGGCCCTCAGGTAAATTCAGGTAAACATCAGTCATTAATGTCACCCCTTACCCACTGTTTTAAACAATAATTTTGCAAACCACAAGTCTTGTTTTTATGAATTAAACTCTAATGAAGGTACTGTAATTTCCACCTTATGAATCCCATGAGACTACCAAGAAAATATATGTCAATAATTTAGTTGGGAAACTATCTTTACAGTTTGACGAGTATTTTGATCACATTTTGAAAAAAACAATCATTCTAGATGCTTATCGGGCATTACCCTCTACTGACTTAAGGGTAAAGTGTGGTGTTTTTGTTAAAGGAACTTTGTAATCTTTGAGCCATCGTCCTCCACGTCGTAAATTGCCATCAATTTCATCCTTCCAGATTCCTGTTGGGAGGTAAATATTTCGATTTCGTTTTCCTCTTTCAGTAACAGGTGCAATGAGTAGGTCTTCCCCTAAAATCCATTCATCATGCACCTTTGCAGCTTCAGTGTCATTTGGGTCAAAAAGTGCTAGGGGGTGAATTAGTGGAGTTCCCAGCTCAAGAGCGTCTGAAACATTCTGAAGGAGGCGAGGAAGAACCATGGTCTTTCTTATCTCTATATACTCAGTCACCAAATTGACTACTTCTTTGTCGTACATATGTGGCAGCACACTGATCTGTTGGGTTATTTAACAAATTAGCTTAATTGTTCTAAATAACCAAAAACTAATAAAATTTTAATTTATGTGTTATGCGGGTATAACAAACAGATATGCTTTTTCATTTCTATGATGGGGAATGTCTGTATTAATAATCTTTTCACTTGCCATATTGACAAAATGTTGCCTATAAAATATGTACAGTATTTGTCTTCAAATAAAATAGCTGACTTAAACCTGGCTCTGGCAGGAGCTGCGGGTTAGAAACAGGTGGATTGTCAGAAAAACAATGGTGGTAAGGGAAAAAAATGGAAAGTAAAGGAAACATAAGGAAAAAGAAATAAGGAAAAACAAAAATATGGTAAGTAAGTGGAAATACAGTACAATATTTATAATCTTTGTGAAGAATATATTTCATTTCAATATAAATTGACAGAGGTGATTACACTGGTGAAGATATATGTCTTAAGAACTAATATTGGGGAAGTGGGTAGTACACGATACAGTGTGAGTTTGAAGCACAAGGTAGGAAACTATGAGGATGAAATTAGGTACATTTTGGTTTTACTTCTAAATAAAGCATAGGTTGAACAATTTTTTTAATTCAGTAGGAACTCACTGCCTAATGAATTAAAAAATTGTCCAACCTATGCCTTATTCAAAAGTATAACCAAAAATTACGTAATGTCATCCTCATAGTTTCCCATCTTGTGCTACCCACTCACCCATGTTAGTACTTTAGATATTCAACATCATCATTATTATCTACAGTATTTCATCAATTTGTAATGTAGATACAGTATTATGAATAATAATAATAACTACATTATGATAATGAAGTTATTATTATTATTTTATTACCTTTATTGTACATGTATAGCTTAAGGACCTGCCCAAAATACTGTGTGCGTGTGTTAGTGGCTTTGCAAGAATGTTACACTCAAACCCCCAATATATGTACTTTCTCAACCCAATGTACCTTCTTGTATAGAAATACTGTACATAAATACGTATCTGGTTTAAATGAAGTAGAGACTAGAGTGTGATGTGTTAGAAAATATAGGTTATTCAAGGGAAAGTATTGGTTTATTAACATAAAATCAAGTGAATGAAAAGATGGGTCACTATGCAAATGAGTGCTTCAAGGAAAGACAGCTGAAATATAAAAGCCTTAGATATACACCAAGATTGTTGAATTGTCTGAATGTCTATTGTAAATTGTCTGTGTTACTAGTCATACAAGTATTTGTGTGTACGTCTGGTAACATACTGCATGTGTAGAGGAAGGCATGTATATGTTTATCACTCAGATGTTCGGTAATATGCTTATTGTTTGTGATGTGTATTTATATATATATATATATATATATATATATATATATATATATATATATATATATATATATATATATATATATATATATATATATATATATGAACATGTTGTACTGAATGGGGTGAGACTACCTTGAGCTACCTCATCCCTTTGTGTGTATTTATGCCTCAATAAACTTATTTCATTTTCAATTAGATACACTGTATTTAGAAATGCTCAATTCAACATACATCATACATGAAATTAAAGATAAAGTATAAATTATGACATGCATTATTATTAAAATATAAAGGGAAATCTGGTGAAGAATTGCAAGGCAGAAATTCACTTCAACTGGTAATATGAGAAGACTGTTCAACCATAGATCTAATGAGTTATTCACAGATAATTTAGCATTATATTTGGATAACAAATTATTGAATAATGAGCAAGGGATATTGCAAAAAAGGGCTTCATAATCACTATGCAATAAATTATATGCAACATAAGACAAACACAGGATTGTGAGGAAAAAATGATCAGTACTAACCTGCATAGCTGGTAGAAATGTTGCAACTTGCAACCATCGTATATAGAGTTCTCGCTCAGGAACATGTCCATGTCTAGCTATGCCACCAATGGGTCCGACATCAACCAAGGAATACCCTAACATAGCCAGGGTTAAAACACGTGGCACCAGTGTTCCAAGACCTCTCCAGGATCCATCTGCTGTACCAAGTGTCAGGAAGGTTGGAGGCATCGGTGTAGTGACTGTCCCTTCAGTGCTCACAGGTGGTGATACAGCACTTACAGAAGCCATAAAATATACTAATATTGAATCAGGCCCTGGGAGGGGCATGTGATATTCATGAAATACAGGTAGAGCATGAGCATCTGCTGGCTGTAAATGGAAACGATCAATTTTGTACGATTTTTGCAGGTGTTGCAAGCGAGATGTAAACCACTTGGTTCCTCTCGGGTTACTAAAATCTGTAACCACTGAAGGATGACTCTCATCATAATTAGTCAGTGCAGGTAGCGAGGAGTTTTTCTGTCTCACCCAGAGATTTTCCCTAGTCCCACTATTGAACGCTGAAGCCCCAACACTAACAAAAGGGTGAATAGTGAGCGCCAGATGAAAGCCTTTATCTTTCAGTGTCTGTGCCAATAATGCTGGATCAGGAAATCTATCTGGGTCAAATTCTAGTTCACCAGGCTCACCCTGCCAGGAAGGTGGAAGTAATACATGCCCCTGAAGTCCATATTTTTTACTGAGAATACTTTCTACGTATTCTATTACTGCCTCTTGTGTGAGCTGCGGTCTATCAGGGGGCATCCATGGCACCCAAACAGGGTGCTCAAGTCTTTCTTGGACACGATCTTTTACCTCTTTTTTGAAGATTTCTTTTAATATTTTACGTGGCTTCCGTGAAACATTCATATGTCCAACAGCCTTTGGATGACCTAGCGGTGCTTCTGTATTTTGATTTTCTTCCACATAAGATTTGTGTGTGACAAGACTAGAGGAAGCTTCAACAACAATTTTTCTTTTGTTAACTGCTTCTTGGTGCATGAAATATATAAGAGAAGTCACATTGGGAGCTGTGCAGAGATGGTATTCCATTGTTGGTAATGGAGCTATCAGTGATGGGTATGGTCCAGTTTCTAAACATACTTGCCCATCATTCTCATAATTAATGGAGACTTGTCCACTGAAACTCTCTGGTAGGGTTAGAAGAGAAGCCCGATCAGAAAGCCACGTATGTCGTAAAAGTTGACCCCAAGAATCTCTTCCAAGTTTGCCGGTGACCATTCTTTCAGGTGCAATATTTGCGTTTGTGACCGGGAATCCACCCTCACTCATTTCCCCACCCCCCCACCATACTCCATGCTCTTTGTCTGCTTTCAAACAATCTCTAAGTTTAAATTCTTCATTTGCTGCTCCCCACCACACTGAGTAGCACTGAACATCACCTTGGGCATACAATTTGCGGAGCTGTAACTGAGCCAACCCAGTCCAGTCTAAACATACCATATCCCTGCAAGGAAAAACATTTATGTTACATGTAGATCACTTTTTTTTAATAACAAGCTTAGGTATACACAGCAATGTGCTGTTACCCTATTATGTATGAAAGATTAAACAGTCTAGATAAAAAACTAGCTACAAGTTCATCTAATATTTCCATCTCACAGGATGGTTAGTCATACATGGAATCAGGGAAGAAATTATTGGCCTCAATACAAGAACAAATCAGCTCTAACTAAAAATCAGGAGAGAACATGAAATAGCCTCCACTAGCAAAATCTGGGTACAACACAAAAATATCTTCCAATATTCCTGAGTGTAGGAAGTAATTACAGAGCTCAAAGTACCTCATACCATTTGGTCTAAAGTCACTTATAACAGGGCAATCACAGATATAGTGTTGGAAAGTATGTCCCAGCTCTTATTCACATAGTTTACAATTGGAATGTTCACTATTGGGGGATTCATTATCTGCAGCCATCCGCCATAGATATTGATATCCCAGCCTAATTCTGGCAATTACAATGTCACACTGTCTAGTGGATGTTTTACTCTCCCCGTACACATAATTCTCGGTTCTAAACATGTCATAGCTTTTTATAGTCTTGCTTTCTGGCCTTTGTGTGTGTCAGTAACTGCTTTTCTGTCTTCCCTAATTTCCTGAAATATTGCAGCTTTTACAGCAGAGATTGGAATGCCCATATCCAACTCACTTTAAGGCTTATCACATGCAGTTTTAGCTTCCATATCTGTGTCATCATGCTGGACAATACCTATGTGAGATGGTAGCCATAGAAATGAGACTGAAACTCTTGCTCTTTGCATTAATAATGTTTATAATGGATGTTACAACATTCCTAGTATCTATTTTGCATGTTGGGTTTTTAGGGGCCTGAAGAGCTGACTTTGAATCACAGAAAATTACTCCTCCACTGTTCTTCAGTGCATTAGTGGCAAGTTGTAGTGCAGCTAATTCTGCATGTGTGGAGCTAAGCCAGATATTCAGTCTCACACTTTGTGGTGTACAAAGTGTGTACAACATATTTCACCAACATATGTACACAGTACAAAATTTACTTACTCATAATCATCATCATCTGGTCTTTTGTGTGGCATAGTGTAATTGTGCCTTTTGAGGTAATGGAGATAATTTGTGCAGTCCTCAGGTATTGAGTTTGGTGGGAGGCTGCTCCCTAGATGTACTGTAGTGAGAGGCTTCCATTCTGCATTATAAATTTCCAGAATCCTTGGAGATTCATAGAACTTGATGCAGTTAAATATAGAGAGCTGCAGAGATGGAGAATACACAAGTATGAGACAACACAAATCTATGAATTGTGTTTACGAAATTGTTATACTATGCAGTATTGACAAATTTATTTACAAACAACATTTTTGTACAATTTCATTAACAATTTAAATATTGTAATAAATAAATAATGCAAGGTTTCTTACCTCAAGTAAGTGAAGATTGTAAAAGTATGTGGTGAGGGAGATGCCAAGTACAATGGTGACGAATAACAACACAACAAGCACCATCAGTCCAATCTCTGCCCGGGTCTTTGTGGCTGGTGTATTTGGTTTCTGTTGTCAGCAGAACAGAAACAATCATTTATGCAATAATCATCTAATCACTGTTAAAGTTAAGTCCTTTGAACCACTCGGTACATTAGGTTTGCACAATGAAATCACATGAAATATGATAATAGGGTCCCAGTAATGCAGTCAAGTTCACACACTCAACACACAATCAGGAATCCTGGGTGGGACAGAAATGACTGGTTGTGTTTCCTATCACCTAATGTCCCTGTAAACCTAGCAGTAAATAGGTACCCAGTAGTTAACTTCTTGTAGGGTTGCTTCCTGGGAAGGGTCAGTAATTCGACCTTGGGTGGACCTCGATATAAGCCTATTATGTATACTGTATATAATATATACTGTACTGACTGCCTGTTCCTGACACGATGAATTATGAATTATTTTCAGTGATAATTAATACTTAGTGTGAACTACAGGGTACTTTATTTTAGACCATTGGCTTTCAAGCTTAACAAGCCACAACGCAGGACAAAATATTGGTGATGCTTTTTTTGCCTGAAGGGTTATAAATTCATGGAACTGCCTGCTCACTGAAGCCGAAACATTATTATAATAAAAATAATAATAACAATAATAATAATAATAATAATAATAATAATAATAATAATAATATTAAACAGAGAGAGTAATCACACTAATGTCATTGCATCAATGAGAAAATCCGTACGAGCTGTGATGAGGATTTGGACCAATGCGGTGGATGTTCCCAGGCTAACGCTCTAGACAACTAGACCACGACATGGTCAACAGGATTGCAACCTGGAATATTACTGCACCCACGAGAATTCCTTGAGGCTTCCACTGAAGCCAAACCAGGGCATCGCACAATCCCCCCATGCAGAAGTAGTAGTTGCCATCCTTTTCAACCATGCTGTGGTCTAGTCATCTAGAGTGTGAGTCTGGGAAAACCCAGCACATAACTGCTGGGTGTCCTGCAGATTTCTCATTGATGCAGTCATGTTAGTGTGATTACTCTCTCCGTATTGAAAGAGGAGCATCAGAGGAAGAACATTCCTAGATGACAGAGTCAAGAGCGCATGGGGGGATTGTGGGAAACCCTGGTTCGGCTTCAGTGGAAGCCTCAAGGAATCCTCATGGGTGCAGTAGTACCCAAGTTGCAATCCTTTGACCATGGCATGGTTTAGTTGTCTAGAGCATGTGCCTGGAAACACCCAGCACATAAGTTTAAATCTCATCACGGCTCCTATGGATTTTCCCAATAATAATAATAATAATAATAATAATAATAATAATAATAATAATAATAATAATAATAATAATAATAATAATAATAATAATATTAATTCACATAGAAATCTCACTAATGTGATATATATATATATATATATATATATATATATATATATATATATATATATATATATATATATATATATATATATGAGAAAATCAACTGGAGTAATGAGGTAACTCGAACCAGTGATGAAGGTACTCCCGGCAGTGCACCTTACCCCTGTACAATAACATGGTATAAGTTATACAACCTGGAATTTTATTGAATGCACAGAAAGTCTGGAGGCTTCTTTTGAAGCCAGTCCAAGTTTTACATATAAACCCCATGCACTCTGGTGTAGGTTAAGTATGTTGATGAAGAACTTTACTTAAAACAGAGTGCATAGGGGGTTATATGTGAAAGTTGAACTGGCTTCAGTAGATGCCTCCAGACTTCCTGTAGTCAGCGGAATCTGCAGGTTGTATAACTATACCATATTGTGGTTTATGGGTAAGGAGGGGTTTAGGGAGTTGGGGGTTCTGTTACAGCCCTCTATGAAGTGTTTCAAGTCAGGATTAGTATTGCAATGTAGTCTTGAAGACAGTAAACTGGAGAGTGACTTGAGCTTTTTTGAGCTTTTTATAATAATAATAATAATAATAATTTTTATTTAGGTAAGGTACATACATACAATAAATTTTTACAAAGATTGGTTGACTTATAGGTAGAGCTAGTACATACAATGCCTAAAGCCTCTATTACGCAAAGCGTTTCGGGCATGATAAACTTAAATGACAAGCTTAATACTAATTGAGCATAATGAGTAGAATGAAAACAAGAAATGAAAACATAGATGAAAAAGCAACACAAATACAATTATGTCGACAAACAGCGCTCTTTAAAGAAAAACAGACATTGGTTGACAATAGAAGGGTAAGGTAGGTTACAGGGAATTTATTAGGTATTGCTTCATTTTTAACTTAAACTGGTTGAGAGAGGTACAGTCTTTAACATGGTTGGGAAGGTCATTCCACATTCTGGGCCCCTTGATTTGTAGAGCATTTCTAGTTTGATTAAGTCGTACTCTAGGAATATCAAAACTGTATTTATTTCTGGTGTGGTGCTCATGGGTTCTGTTACAACCTTCTATGAAGCTTTTGAGATCAGGATTGGCATTATAGTTTAGCGTTTTATATATGTATAATACACATGAGAGAATGTGCAGTGACTTAATGTCTAACATATTCAGAGATTTGAGTAGGGGTACCGAGTGATGTCTGGGGCCAGAATTGGATATTGTCCTAATAGCAGCTTTGTGTTGAGTAATTAGAGGACGTAAGTGATTTTGGGTAGTAGAGCCCCAAGCACAAATACCATAGTTGAGATATGGATAGATAAGGGAGTAATAGAGAGTGACCACCAAAATTTTTATTTTGCATGTTTTATAATTTAAGTAAAGTTGTTGCATGCTGTTTGTTATTATTCAAATTGCTGATTTATGTTGAATAATTATATGCTTGAAGTAGTTTTCAGTCAAAAATCCCCATACACAAATATTGTTGGCGAAATATGGATAAATGAGTGAATAATATAGCGTCATCTGAGTGATGTACATAGTAGTGGATTTTATAGAGCGTACATAGAGTTTTCAATAATTTTTTACTATATGGCAATTACACTACATTACAAGTAATGTTCAATAAATTGTCTATGTGTATGCCAAGTAATTTACGGTATCTTATTCTCTCAATCTGGGTGTTACTTATTCCTAGCTCTGTTAGATTAACTACTTTATTTCCAAATATTGTAACATGTAATATGTTTTTTCAGTGTTAAAGGTGAGTTTGTTAGTAGTCAGTCACATATGGACTTTTTTGAGTTGGGTATTTACTGAGTCAGTAGGGATAACTGGGTTAGAGTGTGAAAAAATTAAGGTTTTATCATCAGCAAATAGTATTGGCTCAAGGTGCTTCCATTTACCTAAATTTACATGAGAGCCACTAACACTCTAGTGGCCTCGACGAGGATAGGAAGTTGGCGGCTTGTCAGAGGTCCCCCCATTTACATATTTACAGGTTCAACCTTCAGGTTAAATCTGTAAATTCCTGAAGGTCCCTGAAACTTACAGCTAACTTAACAATCCCAGGGATTGAATGTTCATCCATCCATGAAAGTTAAGGTTCTGTGATTTAAGAAATTAAATACAGCACTGAACCTATACAGTAATACATTTTGTCCGAAATGCTGTGTATATTAGTGCCTTTAGGCATAGTATGTACTAGCTCTATCTAGAAATCCAAAATTCTGTTTGTAACTCATTTTGAATGTATGTACTTTTGCCTGAATAAACATTACTATTAATTATTATTATTATTATTATTATTATTATTATTATTATTATTATTATTATTATATATGAATCAGTAATATTAGTAGTTTGTAATTACCATAAATAAGATAAAAACTTCTTAAGAATATTTACTAGTAATCTTCTAGAAAATGTTGAATCTGCAAGCAACACCATTGCACTTACCCCCATTTTTTCTTGTATGAGTGATGAGAGAGAGTTGTGAGACGAGGGTTGTAAGGCCTTAGACTTGCTCTCCTCGCGGTTACCGCCTATGATGCCTCGCTGCGAGCTGGAATAATCAATTGATATAACTATTCAGAACTGGCATAACTCCTACTTGATACAAGACACTTCAACGGCAGTCGCTTCTAGCCATTCATATGCTCAACATATAGAAAAATAATGTCTCTTGATAAAATCTTGAGACCTGACAGACCTATTTTATATATTTTATCAATAAAACTGACAGCCACTTAATGTTTAATACAAAACTATTTTTAACTCAAAAGACGCTTGATAAAAGTAAACAGAAGGAATTCAATTCTACAACGATCAGGTGTGTGCAGGATAAAACTTATTTTATATTCATCAAGCGCTAAATATCATGTTTCATTGTATTGTGCATTGGTGTCGGAGGGACGAAGGCAGGGGAACAGGATCTGAGGTCCTCTGTATTCTGTAGTTAATGGTACTTCTTACACACCGGATACATGGGTCCCTAAACATCCTCTTGGCATACTATGCTTCGCTCAAGACTGCCTTTTGGTTCTCTACTGTGTGTGTATATTTTACCAAGAGAATCCATCCTCTTGTTTATACACACCCAGCACTAAGCATGCAAATACATGCCTCTACAGTGTACCCTTTGAAGCTCCTTATTCTTGACGGAGCGACCTCCTGCATCCTCTTGTGCGAGGTATTTCTTAAAATCTTGAGGCATTAACATTGTAAAAGAAGCACCTTAAATATGTGTTAAGAGAATTCTGCATATGTATCTGACTGTGATGTGACATGAAGTGACTCGGCTGCTCCTCGCCCAGAGTAAGAAACACAGTGTTGAACAAAAAAGTAATAAGAATGAAGATCACTAACAACAAGCACAAGCAAGTAAGAAATACAAATGAAAGTAGAAAGATTAAAGGGCACAAGTGAGGGGAAAAAGTCAAATACAGGACTGGTAACAAGACCAGCATTGATTAAAGGTTGAGAGAAGAGATGAGGAGCAGGAGCCATGAGTCACTTATCCCACTAGACTGTAACCCAGGCCAGTGTTGGCTCTCTCTAGCCCAGGCCAGTGTTGGCTCTCTCTAGCCCAGGCCAGTGTTGGCTCTCTCTAGCCCAGGCCAGTGTTGGCTCTCTCTAGCCCAGGCCAGTGTTGGCTCTCTCTAGCCCAGGACAGTGTTGGCTCTCTCTAGCCCAGGCCAGTGGTGGCTCTCTCTAGCCCAGGCCAGTGTTGGCTCTCTCTAGCCCAGGCCAGTGTTGGCTCTCTCTAGCCCAGGCCAGTGTTGGCTCTCTCTAGCCCAGGCCAGTGTTGGCTCTCTCTAGCCCAGGACAGTGTTGGCTCTCTCTAGCCCAGGCCAGTGGTGGCTCTCTCTAGCCCAGGCCAGTGTTGGCTCTCTCTAGCCCAGGCCAGTGTTGGCTCTCTCTAGCCCAGGCCAGTGTTGGCTCTCTCTAGCCCAGGCCAGTGTTGGCTCTCTCTAGCCCAGGACAGTGTTGGCTCTCTCTAGCCCAGGCCAGTGGTGGCTCTCTCTAGCCCAGGCCAGTGTTGGCTCTCTCTAGCCCAGGCCAGTGTTGGCTCTCTCTAGCCCAGGCCAGTGTTGGCTCTCTCTAGCCCAGGCCAGTGTTGGCTCTCTCTAGCCCAGGCCAGTGTTGGCTCTCTCTAGCCCAGGACAGTGTTGGCTCTCTCTAGCCCAGGCCAGTGGTGGCTCTCTCTAGCCCAGGCCAGTGTTGGCTCTCTCTAGCCCAGGCCAGTGTTGGCTCTCTCTAGCCCAGGCCAGTGTTGGCTCTCTCTAGCCCAGGCCAGTGTTGGCTCTCTCTAGCCCAGGACAGTGTTGGCTCTCTCTAGCCCAGGCCAGTGGTGGCTCTCTCTAGCCCAGGCCAGTGTTGGCTCTCTCTAGCCCAGGCCAGTGTTGGCTCTCTCTAGCCCAGGCCAGTGTTGGCTCTCTCTAGCCCGCATGTCTTACTGTACACGGCTCATTTGATTTGCTTACAATTAAGCAATAAGATGGTGCTAGAGAATACACATTAGCACAACTGCATTAGTATCATACTCCCATCACCAGCAAGGCAGCTGAGTAGGGTACATCCCACACCAGCCGCGTGCCTTAAGATGACGTATATGTGTATGCCGTTACAGCCCCGCTCCTGTGCCATTTAAGTCCACTATGGGCTCACCATAGCCCGTGCTACTTGCAACTTTGTGTTCCCGGTAACTGAATCTTCAAAACAACAAAACAAAATACCTCGTGTGTGTGTATAAAATGGTTAAGGTGATGTTTCTATCATGATTTAGTGTTAGATGAAAGAACATAGATGTCAGCGCTAAAGACAGGTCACCACTTACTAATACATCTTGAAGTAGGCAGAGCGGTTGGAACATATAGTGTCATCCCACGACGTGTAATCATCTCCGCCAGGCTCCTCTTCTTCGTCAGATGTGTGTATTGAGGACGAGGCATCACTATACAAGCGAAGGAGGGCATGCCAGGTGAGGTGAGGGGTCATGCGAGGCAGGAACACACCCACAGGGGGGTAGAGGGAGAGACAAGACCACGCATTAGCTGGCTACAAGTCGCCATACCACAGCGCAGTAAGGTAGGTTTAAGGTATGAGGTGCTTATACGTGCACAGAATTAATTTCACACTGAAAGCAAACTGAGGAATTCACAAATGTTATTGCACAATTAACTCGCATGTTAAGAGAGCTTGCATGCTTTACACGTGGCATAATTTCATGGAACACATCATATCTACATGTGTGCGTAAATGTGTACTACTGATACCTCTATCCCTGGGCACCTTTATAAATAAAACAATACACAAAACATCAAGAAAAATACAAAGTACAGAATACTACACGTGAAGAATAATGAGTGGATAAAGAGTATTGATAATGAGGGCCAGGAATGCTGGCCACACTACCCAGCCGCAGGTTGCTGGGAATGTCAATGATGGCGGGTGAGCGCGCGTGAGGGCCCGAGGAACACACTACTCACAGCTAAGCTCTGCTTCATTACCATCCCCTCTCTCTCTCTTTGTGCCATTGTTGATATAATAAAATATACATTAAACTTGTGCAACTAGCTTATCAAGACTGCAACTTGCGTAGCTAAATGAATTTTGGAGGTTTAGTTCCTGACTTCGCTATGTACCACTAACCTTTTCTACTACCGCTCATAGGATAGGTATGGGGGGTCCACTAAGGCCTATAGGATGGGTATAGGGTGCATAGTGAATGAACTAAACTAAACACTGTTTGTGATTCTTCCTATGGCTAATTCACTGTCACTGTCACACACACACACACACACACACACACACACTCTCACACACACACACTCTCACACACTCTCACACACTCTCACACACTCTCACACACTCTCACACACTCACACTCTCTCACACTCTCTCTCACTCTCTCTCACTCTCTCTTAAGTGAGAGAGAGTGAGAGAGAGTGTGAGAGAGAGGGATCTCTCTCTCACACACACACCATTGTGAAGCCAGAATACAGATACACACGTGTGTTGAAGATGCAGATAACAACATTAAAAATAAATAGTGATTTACTCTGGATAAAATCTAATAAAACTGAGTCAAAGTGAAATTGACACAAGTTATCCCTATTAATCAATATTTTTATTATGAAAACCCGCACATCTATAGATCTTCCAATAAGGTTAGCATTCTAGACGCTACTACCCCCTAGGCTCGGGTAAAAGTACCTCTGGGAGTGTGCACCACCTGCTCTTGAAGACGTCACTGTAAACACTGCCAGCAGATCTATTCACATACGTCACTTTCGTCACTGTAACCGAAAGTGAAAAAATCGCCGAGTTCTGAGATAACACTATCATTGCTGTTCAAGAAATGGGTCAGTATTTCATTGGTTTTCAAGAAATGTGTGAGTACTTCATTGGTGTTCAAGAAATGTGTGAGTACATCATTCATAATGACGTACTACCAGAAATTGTAGCCAAGTATCCAAAGTTTGCTTTACTGTAGGTGCCGCCTGCACGTGACTGTAAAGCTGCCGCCCAGTTGGGTGGGTGTGGAGCAGGATTAAATTTAAATTGATTAAATTTTGCCCCGAGGGGCGAGTTTATTGGGCAGCGCCACACATCTTGTGAGTGGACACACTTAGTAACCGAGTAAATGGGTCACCGCAGATGTAAATTACCTTTTTATAGAGACTGTTGTGGTCTGCTTCTTGAGACACTTGTAATATATAAAAAAGACTATTGATATTTGTATGTACATATGGAAGAATCAACACAGGATTAATCTGATCACTTTCGTGATTCTACACATTTTCAAGGAAAATAATTTCATTGTGACGTCATCAGGTCACACCCTTGCGTATATTTATATCTGTTTAACAGGATGTCTGTTTGTTCAAGGTTGGAGGTTAAACGTTTGGGCTCGTCTTACTCATATTTCCAAGATAAATTATTTTGAGTAGGGGAGTGTCACATGTCAGTCAGTGATGGCTTTGAAAATATCGGCATTTATAGACACCGCTCCTCCCCCATGCGATTTTCATGAAGTCAGGTCTGAAATATTTGTTGTGTTTCCCATAGAGTTGTTCGGGGGGTTTGTGGGAGGGAAGAGGGCATAAAGACGGGAGGGGGGGAAGAGACCCGGGTACCCCTTCCAGCCAGATATGAAACAAAATTTGATCTCATATTTTGGGGAGGCTCACCATAGCCCGTGCTACTTGCCCCGCTCCTGTGCCAGGTAAGTTACGGGCTCGCCATAGGCCGTGCTGCTTGGAACTTGTGCCGAGTAGCTGAATCTATAACAACATATTTTGGTTAGGTTGGGTTGGCATGGGATGGGATGGGTTAGGTTGAGTTATGTTTACTGAAAGAGTAATGATGACTTAAGAGTGGTGAAATTGTGCTCAGGTCTTAGACTGTACTAGCGCGGCCTGAGACGCACGTCAACATGATAACATCAGCGGTGGTGCCTTATGTGAGGACGGCATTCAGTACCTTGAACAAGGAGTCACTCAGAGCGTCCTGCACCACGGGTGTGGGGCAGGACGAGAGTGTGGAGGCTGACTCCACATATGGAGGGAGAGGTAGTGAAGGCTAACTCCATACATGAATTCAAAACTAAGAACAACAGAACTCGAGGGACAAGTAACCAACTCCATCCTTTGACCACAGGCGTAAAAGCTTGCCCGGGAGCTGAAGCTCAACCCTTGCAGCCCATCTAGGTATGAACACACACACACACACGTACGCGCAAGACAGGCAAAAAGTAACGTTTAAATAAATATAATCATTACAATGTGTGTGAGGCGGTGTCCCGGACCTGGTGGACGCTAATATGACAGAGGTGAGGTTGAGTAACGCAAGTGTGTGGGGCACTGTGAAAATAACCCGGCCAGCCATTGTTGTTGTCTTGGCACCTGGAGCCAACCGCTGTACTTTGCCAGCGCCAACAATTTAGTTTATTGTTAGGAGGTGTTTTTATCAACTTGAATACAATCGGCGCAAGTCTCGTACAATTGGTGCCTTTCCCCGTGTCTACGCCCCCACCCCCCTCCGCCCACCACTCCCCCCCTCCCGCCCACACAAGCTCATTTAGGTAAGTACAATAGCACAATAAACTCGCAAAACCGTGAAATTCGCGATAAAATATTGGGACCACAAAATATTGGGGAGCCGGTCGGCCGAGCGGACAGCACGCTGGACTTGTGATCCTGTGGTCCCGGGTTCGATCCCGGGCGCCGGCGAGAACCAATGGGCAGAGTTTCTTTCACCCCTGTTACCTAGCAGTAAAATAGGTACCTGGGTGTTAGTTGTCACGGGCTGCTTCCTGGGGGTGGAGGCCTGGTCGAGGACCGGGCCGCGGGGACACTAAAAAGCCCCGAAATCATCTCAAGATGATTAAGATAACCACTTAATGGGCTCGAACCCGTGCCTCATGGAAGTCCAGGAAAGCAAGTTCGATCTCATAATGTGACCTTTAATATTTTCTGAAGGATAATAGAAACCATGCGGTTATTGGTTTCAAAAGTGGGTGACACGAGAATTTGGAGACTTGTGAGTCGCTATTAAACCACCGACAGGAGCTAGAGCCCAACCTTCCAAGCACAACTAGGCGAGGACACGTGAGCAAGGAGCCGTGTTCTCCTCCCTGCCTGGGGATATGTGTATTTACTATTTGTGCCTACAGAATCGAGCTACTAGCTCTTGGACCCCGCCTTTCTAACCAATCTATTTTCCCTGTTATATCTACTACATATATTTCTCTCAAACACACACACACATACACAGGCTGTGTGTGTGTGTGTGTGTGTGTGGATGCTTATGGAGGCTGATTCCATACACAGTGTCAAGTGTAGATATGATAGAGCCCAATAGGCTCGGGAATCTGTACACCTGTTGATTGACAGTTGAGAGGCGGGACCAAAGAGCCAGAGCTCAACCCCCGCAAGCACAACTAGGTGAGTTCATACACACACACACACACACGTGTGCATTAAGTCGTCTGATCACAACCGATGATCGCGGCATAAAATGTATATATTTATCACTCAGAAATTCGCGTAAAATGCTGATTGTGATATGTGTGTCTATATATATGTATGAACACGTTGTACTGAACGAGGTGTGAATAGCTTGAGCTGCCTCATCCCTTTGTCTGTATTTATACCTCAATAAACTTATTTGAATTTGAATGATAATCGCGGAGGTCAATTCCCGCGTCAGGACAGAAGTGTTCGGGCAGCATTTCCTTTCACCTTATGCATCTGTTCCTCGAGTGCAAAGTCGTAATAAAGTTTAGTGCAAAGAAAACTATAGCGGCCGCTGTAGAATCCCACTCATCATAGTCCGAGCACCGCTCCTGTGCCAGGTAAGTCCACTACGGGCTCACCATAGCCCGTGCTACTTGCTCCGCTCCTGTGCCAGGTAAGTTACGGGCTCACCTTAGCCCGTGCTACTTGGAAGTTGTTCCGAGTAGCTGAATCTATAACAACATCCCTCTCATGTTAGGAGGGCGGGAAGTGCCGGCGACGAGGCTGACTATAGCGTCTTAGGAACGCAGAACACTTGACCCGCGGTCCTTATCACAGATTACCGCCGCTGGCTCCTCACCATCGTACCGATAACGCCGTAATCTCGTCCTCATTTCCAACAGAATTTTCAAATGTCAAATTATCTTAAATGCCGATGTAAATGGTTTTTAAAAGATAAAAATATTTGTAAAGTACAGTGTGTGGAGGGGCCTTAGCAGGGGCCCGCCTGCCGCCCCTCCGTCACCTACCTGAATGAACTCTTCCTGGGAACTACCTTGAGGTTACCTTGAGGTTACCTTGAGGTGCTTCCGGGGCTCAGCGTCCCCGCGGCCCGGTCGTCGACCAGGCCTCCTGGTTGCTGGACCCGATAGTGAAACCGACTGACCGCCGCCCTCTCGTCTAATACGTCGCATTTGTAACGGAATTGATCAAT